AGGAGGATGGACGAGGCCGCGGGGGAGCTGAAGCAGGCGCTGCCCGCCGTGTGCGACGCCGCGCTCGTGCACGTGGAGGTGCATCAGCGAGCGAGCAGGTCTGTGGCGTGGCCGCGGGGCTCGGGTCACAGTTGGAGCTGTTGGGGGTGGGGGTGGATGGTGGCTTTCCCAAAGTTATGGTTTTTGCAGAATGGTGGGTGAGGGTGTGTGAAACAGGGCAGGAAACACTTTAACAGAATAACGGAGGTTGGAAGGGGGCCTGTAAGACTGGGCTCTTCAGGGTCTTGTCCCGAGACCCCGCAGGCTGCACGCTCTGGTGCTTGACCCGTCGTGCTCATCAGAAGCTGCTTGCTGCAGTTGCTGTGTCTGTTGCCTCTTGTCCGTGTGCTGCACGTTTCGCAGAGTTTTGCTCTGTGTCCTCTGTCCCCTCGGTTGGCCCTTCCTAAGGTTGAACAGACCCGTTTCTCTCAGCTGCTCCCTGGGTTTTGTGCAATCCAGTCTCGTAACCCCCCTGGCAGCCGGCTGCTGGCCTCACTGCAGCGTGTCAGTGTCTTCTTTGTGCGGCAGGACTGGGCACAGCGCTCTCGAAAGATTGACTTTCCCTAATGCGATGGCTGCACTCTTGCTCGGACAGGCTAATGTATAGTTGTTCCCCTTTATGGAAGGGGGACACTGCTGATGATATTTTGCAGCCTGCTGTCTGCATCTCCAGTCCTTATCTTACCAGTTTGGCTACCAGGATCCTATGGGAGAGTATATCAAAGGCCTTGCTGAAGTTGGGGCATACGACATCCCCCGCCTTTTTTGTAGGGCTTGAAAAGATGAGTTATAGCAATGGGGACATGTCACTGGAACAACCTTTTAGAAATCTTAAAAGTACTCTGTCTTATTTTTGTCTCTTACTGGAGTTCATACAGCACATTCCCCTCCTGAGGTATCACTTGCCCTCAAGAGTGTATGTGTAGCTGAGCTTCTAAGTTAAGTGTACTAACTTCAGCTGAGTAGCTTAGTGTTTCCACCCCTAGTGAAACACAGCCACACTGCATAGGTGATTTTCATTCTTGAAAGCTTCTAGCTTTGCCTTGCCCAGTACCGTGATTCGATCGCACGCACATCACATAGCATTCTCTGACCTGTGCCTATTAATGCACAAATTAAAACAGGTATCAGAGTTGTCACTTTTGCCAGCAATCTTAAGTTATTGATTAGTAGAAGCTGTTTTTCATGTCGGGTTAGTAAATAAAGATATCTATTACTCTATAAATGCCAGTGCCACAAACAATGTTGTTTCTTTCTTATTAGCACAGCAAAGAAAGAAGATATCAGGACGAGCGTCTTAAAGCTGCTGAACAGACATAACGTTGTGTTTGGAGATTACAAGTGGACAGAGTTCGATGATGGTTTCCTCAACAGCAATGTGCAGTCTGTGTCAGTTGTGGATACAGAGCTGAAACTGAAAGAAAGACAGGTATGCACAGTACAACCTTGTTCATGTATATGTGGTCTAGTGGCATCTACATACCACTGGTTGTGACAGGCTAAGCAAGACAAGATTCATAGGAAAATGTCATAGCTTTTACTAGACAGCCTTGTATAACTAGAGAATATGACAAAGCTTTTGGGCCCATAGCTGTTCTTAAGGCCTTAAATATAAGCAGTAAGCTTCTAAGCTGAACTGAACCAAGTACTGTATTTTTTTTTTCCTGTTACGGTTAGTTTTGAACTGAGAAATAGGATATAGGATGTGTTTTCTGTGTTCCTCTTAGCCCATCGACTTGAGCAAAAGCAGTCTTTCTCTTCATATCTTCCATCTGAATGAAGAAGGACCGAGCTCTGAAAACTTAGAGGAAGAGAATGAGGATATTGTTGCAGCAAACCACTGGGTGCTCCCTGCAGGTACCCTTCTGATCTTTCTGAAAGGAATAGAGCATTTACAATAAAAGAAAAAGCTTGGAAGGGCTAAGAGTTGTCAGAGCGTTTTATAGAGTTACCTATTAAAGATGATTTTTGCATATATTATATAGTATTGGGCTTTTGGATAGAACCAACATACTGTGATTTTTCTTTTAATGCAGTTTTTATGTTTTTAACTGAACTGCCACACTACCATACAGGATTCCACAAGATTTCCTGTATTTCTGTAATACAAGATAGTGGGCGAAGGTAAAGGCTCTTGTGGAATAAAGCCTGAAAATGTATACTCCAAATTGGGAGTATCCAAATTTTTAACCCTGCAGGTTGTATGGCAAATATAGAGACCAACAAGAAACTTACCACTTTATAAATTCAATTCCCAGAGACCGCTATTGGCTTTCAGAGCCAAGAGAGTGCTGCTTTTGTATTTTCAAAAAGAGTATGTGACCTAACAACAGTTCAGTGTCTAGCAAGAGCTGTACACGACAGAGTAGGCACAGGAACCAGAAGTGACTTGTCAACTTGATTCTTTAGGGGTCCTTGATTCTTGCATCTTGCTTTTTTTCTTTTTTTTCTTTTTTTTTTCTTCTCCTTCCTGCAAATATTTCAGTTTGAAGTGATTTCAATTTGCTATCTGAACAGCAGCTTTAAAATCAAAGGAAAATACAATTAAACAAATAAATAACATTATTAAGCAAATAATGCTGTTCTGGTCTTTTCTGGAGAACTAAATTCTACAATAGTAAAACTTCATAAAGTTTCATAGTGACAGTCTATTGCAAAGAAAATCACAGCAAACATTTTTAAAATATATAAAATTCTTTATAAACATATATATTATTGTCAGCAACTTAATAAATTAATCTTACTTACAATAAGCTTGCAAAATACTTTGCTTTTCTCTCATCTTTAGAGAAAATAGCAATTTGTCTAGAAAGACATTTCCTTACTGTGAAGGTTAGCTAGTCCCTTCTGAAAATAAGACCATCCTCTGCAGGATGGCCTGGTCTGCCTAGTTATTCTCATGTGCTCAGGGATCCTAGATTGTGCAGTGGAAGCATAGAAACAAGCTTTGGGTCAAGGAAATGGTGATCTGTGGTGTTTCTTGCTCTTCCTATATTGTGGAAAGCTTAAGTATCCATTATATTTCTCTCTTTTAAGAATTCAGTCTGGTATCTTGATGTTATTCCCATATGTTGCTGTGTTTTAACATTATTTAGCACAATATTTTTGCTTTCATGTGCTGAAAACAAGAAAAGGCTTAAAAAGGTTGAAATCCAAATCACAAATTTGTTTATTTTTTAGCATTGTTCAGCAACATGCTTTTTTTTATCTTCTTCTCTACATGTTGATTCTTATTTAAAAGAAAAAAAAGCCAAAAAATAAAATCGAACTTAGAATCCTGAAACTTCCTCTGAACTTTTCATAAGTCTTTATCTTGGAGAAATGTAGCCCATTCTCCTGTTCAAGGTGATGGGGCTTGGGGGCTGATTTCAATAAGAAGAATGAAGTATTAGTATTTTTCCATTAGTGTTAAGGGTTATTGAAGAAGTATTAACCTCCATTCACAATTATTTGAGAAAGAAAAGTTGTAAACTGATGAATTTATGCCCGTTAGTTATCGTGTTTTGCAGAGAAATAATCCATGTATTTTCACTGTTCAAAAATATGTGTTTTCTGTAACAAGTGAAAAGTGTTTGGTGCTTACCCTAAATGTAAGTATGATGTATTGTTTTTGCAGCTGAATTCCATGGCCTTTGGGAAAGTCTTATATATGATGTTGAAGTAAAATCACATGTAAGTTGAAGATTGATAACAACTTAAATTGCTTGAAGAGAAATAAGAGCTGATATATAACGTGTCTGAAGTTGTTGCATCTCATAGAGAACTTATTTGGAAATAACTATCTCAAGAAAGAATACTTGTGCCTGTTTATTACAGTTACCTACTTTGAAGACAATATTTTCTAGTGATCACTGTGTTGTAGTTTCATGTTATTTTGGAAAACTATGTTCCTGTATTTTTGTTGACAGTTGCTTACTTCTGGCATATCCTTAAGAGAAAAAGACAGAACTGAGATTTAAAATAAAAACATCATATTTCAGACGTCTATGAGTATGTACCGTAGTAATGTCTGCTGTATGAGAAATCTCAGTCTTGCTCCTAATAGTTTCGCTGGTGCCTGTGCCGAATTGTTTCATATTTGTTTTATTTGGATTATTTCATATTTTAAAAAACTGGAAGTTTTAGCAGCTGGAGGTGCTGTTTTGTTTGGAACGTAAAACTTCTCAGGAGACTTTGCTTTACTGCTCTAGACATATTCAGCAGCCTACCTCAAGAAAAACAATGAATACTCTCTGAATAGAAGCAGGGGGAAGGATGCATTTACTTTATGAAATGGCCCTTTTTTAAGGCTGACCAACTGCATGTTTTTCAAGAAGGGAAGAGTAAAATCGGTGAAAAATGTCAAAGACGCTTGGAAAGATATATGCAGCACTATTTGTAATAGGTTCTCAGTTTCTCCATAGTGAAGTCCCAAAAGCATTCTTATGTTATGATATTGGTACTTTGTTATAGGAGCATTTTGCTCCTGGCTGTATTATCAGCACTTGCCTTCTATTGATGCTTTTCTTACCCTGACTGTGCAGTGAACTGAGGGGACTGAATCACCTGCCATTTTTTTTGTCACAGGAATTTGTTTGCCATGACATCAGCTGATGATCATATAACAGAAGTGATGGGTGCAGCTAGGTGGAAGGAAACAGGAGTTTAACTGTGTGTTTCTGGTAACAGCTAGTCAACTGATTGGTTTAGCAATAAAGTCAGTCTGCACTGGTATTCTTCATTCAAGTGCACGTTGCAAGATTTGGCTATAGAGCCCTCTCACTTCATTGATTTTTGTGCATTCATCAAGGCTGTGTTGCTAACTGCTAAAATTTATAGAACTGTAATGCTGTAATCCGAAACTAAGTAATAGTGTTGTGAGATACAACACACAGAATATTTACACTTAAATCTTTAGAAGCATAATCTCTATTCTAACACAAAACAAGAAATAAATTTTGTTTAGGGTGAAAACTTAGATAAATATTGAGCACAATTTTCTGTGTTAGAAAAGGCAATATGGGTAATTCAGGATTGCTACCATTGTATTTACTTTGCTGTATTTGCCTTTAATCTTTTTTCCTTCTCTTCAATTAGCTACTTGATTACGTGACGACAACATTGCTATTTTCTGACAGAAAAGTTGACAGCAACCTGATATCATGGAACAGAGTTGTTTTGTTGCATGGTAAAAATCATTTATTCTAAAACAAATAGGTTAACTGGCCATCTATTTATGCTTTCCTTCTGAAAATCTTCTCTGTGATGAAATTAAATAGATGTTCCTGTGTAAGAGCGGCAGTGCTTGGGAAGCATTCTCTCTATTGTACAAAATTAGATGAAACAACATCTGAGTCAAGTCATACTTAAAATTAGTATTTCCTGTGCTTTCAGGAATTAAAGTTACGGAGTTTATAACACAGTGACAACAATTGATTGTTTTAATTTCTATTTGTAAGAGATACTGTCACTTGCTTTTTTTGCACAAAATGCCAACGATAACGCCAAAGCAGAGTACGTTAGGACCTGTATTTTAGTTACAGCTCTATTACAATGTTAAAAAATTCATTAGTTATGGCTGCTTTATGAAAGTCTTTCAGTAACCTGGCAATAGATATGATACGTTATGTTCTGTTATCAAACATAAAGGTAATATGCCCACTACTTGAGTTACTATGAAGCCAAAATTTTCGATCAGTCTTTTGTTATTTTGGAAATTATGCTATAAGCTAGATTGATATTCACCTGAGTCTATTTTGTTGCAGCTTGATATTGATTAATTACAATTTTATAACCAAGACTACTATTCAACAGTAAAGGTTCGCAGTGGAAATTTTTGCTATAGGCAATAATTCTAGTAAAATTATAGTGATAATACTTAATGGATCTAGTTCATGGAATAAGTGAAAATTAATATTTTCACCTTTGTTTTATTTGTCGGTTTAGAAGATGCAGTATCACTTTTCCTGGAAAACTGTTCATCTTAAATTATTAACAATATATCTGCAATATTTGCATTTAATTTGGGCAATAAATTCTCAAAGTTAAAAAAAATAAGATTACTGGAAAGATGTTATTATTGGGAAATCTATAACTATGGTAATGTAAAATCCTACATTTACACCATATTGGCAGTATTAACGTTGAACAAAATTACTGCCGTCTTGTTGCTGCTTGCCAGTTTGTTTGGCATCTGTACATCAACTTCTATATATTCATAGTCTTTATTTAACTATTTGTGTCCTGGTTTGGAGAATATCTGGATGGTTCTTCCATAGGGCCTCAAGCCATATCCAAAAGCTATATCCCCTAGCATCTATGTGTTTTTATTCTGTAATTATTACTGTAAGTAAAATCACTAGTTAAAAAGATGCTACCTGACATTAACAGTCTGACACTGGTGGTATATAATGTATTGTGTGGATTTTATTTGAATCGAGGACCTCCAGGGACTGGTAAAACTTCACTCTGTAAAGCATTGGCCCAGAAGCTGACAATTCGACTGTCACACAGGTGATTTGTTTGTTTGTTTTTCCTTCTTCCCCCCTTGCTCTTTCCAAGATTCTTACCGTAGCTTGCTATTGTTAAATATGTTTGGGCTACAGCAAAAGAAGGTAGTGCCAAGTAGGACTTGACAAGTGTTAATGTTCATGCAGTACCTGGCTAACAACAAATTTGATGCAATGTGAAAGAAACTGGATATATGTCTTAAAGTGTGAAGGTATTTGTGACTAGGAATGTAAATACATTAACATTTGAATTTGTTTTACTTGTTTGTGCTCACACTGCATATCAGTAAAGACTAAAAGGTGAAGAACTGTAAAATATCAAGCCTGCTGTTTGTATTTTCATATTTGAGAAAGCTTATATTTTTAATAGGTAGTGATTTTTGAATCAGTTGATGTAATCAAATAGTCTGAATGCTACACTGGAAGAGGTCAGTTTGTATGTAAGTCAAGTAATAATGTGGCAGAATGAAAAAAACTGATAGCAATTTAATGTGAAGCATTCTAGTGAGAAAGCTTTTTGTAATTTAAAATTATACTTGGAATATCCATCATGTTTATTAAAAGTATTTTAAATCAAATACTACTTAAGAATATTCTAACATTGAAATGGAGGGAATGAGACTTAAAGAAGTCAATAGTATCAATGACTTTTTTTTACAATATGACATAGTTTATTCTTCTTTTTTCCTTCCATACTTTAGGTATAGGTATGGACAGTTAATTGAGATAAACAGCCATAGCCTTTTCTCTAAATGGTTTTCGGAGGTATGTATTGATCTAACGTATTTAGTAGTTCTTATGTATTGTTATAAGTTACCAGTATTTCTGATGAACTGGGTTCATAAAATAGGTATGGGCGCCATAGGTTATTCAGAGTACTTGAAGTGTCCAGAAGGACTTAAATAGAAGCTGTATTGGAAACTTTTAAAAACAGATGTACACAGCTGTAAATAGAGTAAGACTTGCAAAGTTATGTGATAAGGAAATATGTTCAACATATATACATATATATATATATATATATATATGGTCTCTCTCTAGAGTGGCAAGCTTGTAACCAAGATGTTCCAGAAGATTCAAGAGTTAATTGATGACAAAGATGCTCTTGTATTTGTACTGATTGATGAGGTATGACTTTAATGGCATTGGATTTGGTTTTTATTGTTGTTGTTATCGTTTGCTTTATTTTTTTGAGACAAATTTCAGCTGAAGGGAATTGAAACCTTTCTTGGTGGCAGCTCCTTTGTTGCTGCTTGTTAACAAGTGGAGTATTGTTTAAACTTCAGAGTACCCTGGGTTTGTACGAAAATTATGCTCTTACATTGTAGAGCTCAGAAAAGCATTAGTTTCATTTCAGTTTGTATTGTCTTGACGCACTTTCATACATGAGCAACTTGTGTGCTTCATTTGCCTTAGGATATTGAAACTGTGCATTCCTGTTGGGAGTGCTTGTTCTAAATTCAGTTCATTAGTTATCCTGTGCTCAGCCTTTTTAGGAAAATAGAATGAAAATGAAAAGCAGCATCCATTCTGCTGTTTAAATAAGAACTTCGTTTGCTGTACCTTCGGCTTTCATAACATTTTTTTTTCCCCTTCTCAAAAAGTTTTTTTTTCTCTCCTCTTATGTTCCTACTTAACAGAAGATGAAGCTTTAAATAACAGACTCTTGAGGATCTGATGATGTTCTGTCTGGATTATTTGGCTGTTGTCAACTTTCTAAATGAGCATTTCTTTTTCCTTTGTAGGTAGAAAGTCTCACGGCAGCCCGAAATGCCTTCCAGGCAGGAACAGAGCCTTCAGATGCCATTCGTGTGGTGAATGCTGTACTGACACAAATAGATCAGATTAAAAGGTAAACTTGTGTTACTGCAATACAAAAGGTACCTGATAACTTCACGATTCCTAATAAATGTTAATTCTTACTTGGAATGCTAATCCAAAAATACTGCCTAATGAACTATTCTCTAATTAATTGTGCTAGCATTACTGCTTGTTGCATAAAATGGCTCAAATCATAAGAAAGAAGGTATTAGTTCGCCAGACCCAAGAAGAGAGAATTCTTTTGCATGTGACCTAAAAATCTGCTTTTATCTTGAAGGTATCCCAATGTAGTTATTCTGACTACTTCAAACATTACGGAGAAAATTGACTTGGCCTTTGTAGACAGGGCTGACATAAAGCAGTATATTGGACCTCCATCTGCTGCAGCAATATTCAGAATATATCTTTCTTGCTTGGAAGAACTGATGAAGGTAACTTTTTGAAAGTAGGGCTGCAAAACATCATTTTAAAATAATTTTAGTATTTTTACTGTGCTTTCTGAATCAAGTAATTTTATCCCTTCTCTGTATTTCCACTGTAACTGTAGAATTTGATTTTGAGTATGCTTTTGGAATTTTCATACAATGTATGCAATTCTTTTTTGCAGTGTCAAATCATATATCCTCGTCAGCAGCTCTTGACACTGAGAGAGTTGGAAATGATTGGCTTTGTAGAAAATAATGTCTCAAGGTTAAGCCTTGTGTTAAAAGAAATCTCAAGGTAAGTTTTATTTATTTATTTTTATTCTGCCTGCTAGGATTGACACAATCAGGTTGTGGAAATATGTCTGAAACAATTGAATGTAATAATAGGCAGAGTTTTGAAATGTCTCTGTTTCTTTGGTTTTGGGATTAGTGTGAAACTTTGCAGGATGCAGTGAGTGCGACCTTGCAGGGTGCTTGCAAGATTTGCAAACATTTGTCCATCTCAAGTCTGGTGCAGTTTCTGATATTGCTTCTGGCTTTTGAGGTCTTCTAGTCGAATTCCTGGCAGAATTTGGGATACCTGAGATATGGATATTGTGAGTTATATTTCCATTCAGCAGAAATAATACTGACCTCCTTTTCTGCTGAGAAAATGTCTCAGAATGCCTTGTGATCCACCAAGTAGTCAGTTTTCATAAGGCAAAAACAGACACTGCTGAAGGGGAAAGGCTTGGTGAACATGAAGTAAGTGGAGGGTGTCATGTTTTGTTGAAAATGCTATTACAGCAAATAATCTTTCACTGTAATCTAAAAATACTTGATATTATGAACACCATTTTTATTGTTTCACGAAATAATTCTTTCCATTGCTTTGTTCTCTGTAGAACAAAATGGCACCTTTGTAAAACTGTTACATTCAGAATACATATGAACTTTCTGTTCCTAAAATACCAGCTCTCAACCAGTGGCAACAAGCAAATAAGCTCTGCTAGGGGTGTGGGCTTGGGCTCTACACTGTGAAAAGTGTACATTCTACACTGGAGAACAAATTTAACCAGTCAGCAAGTGATATAAATAGTAGTGTCTTTCTAAGCATGACCGGAGGGTTATTTCTGTACCATGCTCCATCAGGGTGGACATTCACGAGACAGAACACAAAGATGTCACCGAAGTGGACCACAAAAGCACTGGCAGGCAGATATAATTATGCTCTATCTGAACCTGTGCTAACGTGTTTATCCAAACCGTATGTCCTCTTACTTTTTGCTTCTAAAAAACCATGCAGAGAACTGTGGTCTATCAGTATCTTCAAGGATGCTGTGCTCAATAATGAAATAAATGACCAAAGCACACTTTCACATGTGCTGTTCACAGAAGATAACTAAAAATGACACTAGCAAATGAATTAGTAAGGTGTGTGTGGTTTTTATTGTAATTTAATAGTTGTGGAACTGTATTAAGAAAAAACATCGTTGGAGTCTGATGAGATACACAGAAGAATAAGAATGGCTAGTGTGGGTGGGATGTCTTCTTGCTTTCTCCCTGCCTGCCTGTTTTTTTTCTTTTTATCCAATAGAGGAGGCTGAAGTTGTCTCTTCCCCTAACTTTTTGCTTCTGACAAAAATGCTGCGAGCTGTTTAATATTAGACATTACAATTGAATTCAGAGGCACTTATAGGATAAGCACAGAAAAAGACTGTCTGCATCAGTGAATATTTAGCATTTAAGCAGCACTTGTCTCTGTTTTACTGTAGAAGAAGTGAAGGTCTCAGTGGCAGAGTCTTAAGGAAACTTCCCTTCCTAGCACATGCACTTTACATTCAAGTAAGTTTATTCTATTCATTCTGATTCGACTTTTGAGATGGGTAGGGGAGGACATTTGGACAAAAGCCCTGAATCGTTTTAAATCTAAATTATAATGTTTCTTTTCCTTTCTGGACTAAAATGATTTTTTTGCTGTCTGTAATTTAAAATGAGACTGAAAAAAAACTAATAGGACTGACCTGTCCAACAACATTCTACTTAATTCCATATTGTAACAGAATATTGATATTGGTTCTCTGATGCTTTCTTGCTGAAAGTCCTCCCCCACTTCAAAAATAATATATTTTAAAAACTTTTATTGAAACAAATCAATATTCCTGATTGACTCAAGAGTTTTCATTGCATGACTTTGATTTTACTATGTTAACTTGTGTAAAATAAAGCTGCAATTTTAAAATCACATTTTTAAAGTGCATTTTGAAAATATTGTGAAGTGCAATTCTCTGTTCAATACTATGCATGAAATGTGAAATATTATGCCTGCTTATTGCTACAGAGTCTAACAAAATGCTCTCTTGTTTTTCAGTCCCCCAGTGTTACAATGACCACATTTCTTCAGGCTCTTTCACTTGTAGTGGACAAGCAATTTGAAGAAAGAAAGAAACTTTCAAGCTCCGTGTGACACTACTGTTTTTTTTAGTTGTCTGTATTGTTGCCACTGAAACATATATATTTTGAATACAAAATGTGCCCCTTTTATACATTTGTTAAATAGATTGTCAACACCTGAAGAAACCTGTAATGTCTCATCTAGTTTTTGACAAGAGTGATAAATTAAAAAAAAAAAAAAAAAACGATTGTAGCACACTTCTGGAAAGCTTGATTTCAAATAAGACCCTTAGAAACTGACATTTAAAAAATAATTACACCTTTTCAAATAGAAATGGCAGATTTCCGTTCCTTGTTTCTTAATCACTAGCTTTCTATCAGAGAATCAATTTTTATGCCTTCGTTTTCATTTTTGGAAGCTATAGAAATTCAGTGTTTGGCTCTGATATTTGTACAGTAAATGCACTACTGTTTTTATGTTTTCTTAGTAAGGATCAGAGTGCTCAGTGATTGCACAGGCCTTTCATAATAAGGCTTTTTTATGCTGAAAGGTATGCTCAAATATTACATTTTAGTTACATCAACTTAGAAAGTTCAGGAGATATTACTTGACTGTATTTAGAATACAACTTTTCTACATTAATGCAAGGAGCATGTACTCTTGCTGAAAGAAGAGCACAAGGTTTTTCAAAAATGGATAATTTTTTTTCCTCCCTTTTAAAATATGAATTTGAAGTTACAAATCCTCTCTGGGAAAAAATACTTTGAAGTGAAAAAAAAAAAATCATATATTTGGTGTCCACAGGAACAAAGTCAATTCTTATCTGTATAATAATACAGCAGAAACAGTGAAATGTAGAGAAGTTTACAGATGAGAAGTTTATTTTTCTTGAGTGAAGTTTAAAATATCTGCTTAACACATACCTCCTGTGTATTTTGTTATTTCTTTATTATTTTGTCATTCCTTTTTCTAATCAATGTTACACAATTATTAGATTTGGTCATGAATATTGATGAATGCTAAAAACTGCATTAAACAACTGCACTTGTTAGAATCACTAGTCAGTTTTTGCCACGACATTTACATTTTTGTAAAGAGCATCTCTCTGTTAAGCCTGTCTTAGGCATCTTACACTAATTTCAGATAGAATTTCAGCAATATTATTCCCCATCTATCGGTCTCTAAGGAGTGTGGGAGGGAGGGGAAATCAAAAAAAATCTTATCATGTGGTGTTGAATACTCCATTATCCACTGCATCACTTTTTTTTGGAAATACTGGTGCATGTGAGAATCCTCCACAAAAGTCAGGTATAGGAGGATTGCTCAGTGACAGTTTTGTACAAACTAGACCCTTCTTGACTTTTTGAAGTATGAAGATTTAGAGATCTGACTTTAAAAAGATCCTATAATCAGTACAGATATGTTGTGTGCATATATCTTGATGATCCATATAATAGGCCCATGCTTCAGTATTATCCTGGAAGTACAGCCACCCACCTATCTTCCGGTCTTAATTGCAGAATTTGAGAGGAAGGTGTTTTGGTTTTGTTTTGTTTTACTTTTAGTGTGCTTTCTTACATCTAATATATGGAAGTCCTTACATCTATTAGATAGAAGGACACGTTGAAACAGTATTTAAGTTAAATGTAGCTTAGAGACCACTTTCTACCAAATACACTCTCACAAGTAGAGTGGTTGTGCAAGGGCTGGTAATGGTTTAATCTTTTGTAAAAATCTAGGTAATAACTAATTTTGCTGAGTTAGCTATTTATTGCAGAAAGCAAAATCACACGAGGAGGCAGGCTTGCTTTTTTCCTACTCTTTGTTATAGGGCAAGTGCCTCCTTGCACTGACACTCCAAAGAACAGAAATTAGTTAATTTCTGAATTAGTCTTAATGCCCATTGTACCTCAACTTAATTTTAACTTCCAAAGGCTTGAATCCATCTCTCTGAAGAAAATCAGCTGAAATGGGTTGTATGTCATTTTAGTGGGAACTATTTTCCACTTTTGTTGAACCCACCTAAGAATATGAAGTAAATGAGCCTAGACAGAACATAACAGATATTAACCCCCATGGGACCTTATCTGATCTTTCTGTGAGAACAGGTTTATTTTGCTGAAGGCAATGCTTAGAGATTCTTTAAGAGAGATGCAAGGCTGTAACTCAATGTCGTAATGCAAGACAAGGTGTGAGAAGCCCTTCAGGCACCCTTCGGGAAGCAATAGGCTAATACATAAAATGTTTCCCCAAATTCTGATAGATGGACCAAAAAATGAATTTAATAAAGGGCAGCTGAAGAATTCGATCCAGAGCTGACAAGCAGTGAAACTTCCCATGCGATGATGGTTAGGGCAGAAGTTATTTTGTACTGCAGTTTCACCGCCTTCTCCACTGGGTGGATCTCTGGGATCTGGGTTGCTATCAGCATAAGTGATGAAACTTTGAGCCTGGTGAAGTCAAGGACTTTCAGCGTGGCATATTAAGGTGTTTGGAATGTCTGGATTTTAACAGAGTTAAATATTTAATGCTAAAAATAACATTTTTTTTCACTTGGAAAAAGTGAAAGTGAACCCTTTGCTAAGCTAAGCACTGTTTATATCGCAAGATATTAGTGTAACATTTTTCCAGTCAGCCAAAAATATTCATTTCTGATCCAGATCCTACAACACACTTTGCAAAGTTGGGGGGGCAAAGGGGGAAAGGTGGGGGGGGAAAGACTTTTATTTATTTGTTTATTGAAGACTGATTTTTCTTAAAATAACTTTGTTAAAAAATACTATCAGACTAAACTTGATCTAAAACTTTGGACCTTTGGAAATCTCAAGTTCACCGAAAAGGAGAAACTTAACAGCTAATTTCTGATAAATATTATACAGAAGATGGGGTTTGTATGAGTTGTACCAAATACACTTTGTGGTGCTGGTCTCTGAATCATAAGTAGGGTACAGAGGATTTAGAAAAATGCCCAGGGAAGAGCAGCTACCATATTTAAAGGGATATTACAGCTATTCTCTAGGGACAGGAAAAATAGTGATTTGGAGAGAAAGCTGACTTGGGTCTATCAAATAGTGGCGTTAGTAGGTAAGGTGAATGAAAATCATCAAATCATGAAGTGCTGAAGAAGGAAGGCATTTGTTGAAACTCATAGAAGGTCAGTTGTTCTTTTTTTTATATAGTAAACTTCTGGAATTCTCCACAACCATACAGTCAGTATCAGAAAGTTAGAAAGAGGTTTAAGCAAATTGGTATTCAACAGGTCCAAAAAGAAACTAAAAAAAAAAGACAGGCATATACCCTCTAATGTTCATAGTGTGATTGCCATCCACAGCAACGTGGAACTGTTCTGCGCAGGGCTGGTCAGCGCTAGAGTATCCTAAATCGTAATGCCAGAGTATCCTAGTTTAGTTAGGGTCACTGAATTATTCCTAATGGGAAAACATGCATTCAAATTGGTTTGTAAGCTCCAGAACTTTCTCACATTCCAAATATTTTTCCATTCCAGCTGTGCCTCAGCCTGCAGGAAAATCTCAGCCAAACTAGTCTGAATGTCTGAAGGATCCTTTCTGCTCTGTGGGAAATGCGCATGTGACACTAGAAAATTTTCTTCTCTAATCATGAAGAATCATACTGTGGTCATACAGGCAGTGAGGCAGAGTTTTTCAAGGTAGCTAAAATTAAGCATTGAGTTGGATTATGTATTTGCTCTTGTAGTGATTTATGTAAAATATAAATATAAAAATGTCTATAAAAAATAAAATGTATATAAAATGCACAGAATTATCAAAATATCGTCAATAGGTCATAAATTGTGCATGTGGATATCTGAATGATATCTGAAGTAGGAATTAATCGGAAGTCCCTGAAATACCAGATGCTTGACTAGTGTCTTAGGCCACAGAAGTGTATCAGAAATTTAGTATTTTATCAACTACTTTTACAAATACCAATTCCTTTTACAAGGAGGCTTGTTTGGCCTTATTTGGGTCTCATTGGGAGAATTTAGCTTTAGTACAGCACAGTCTTGCATTCAAATGGCATCTATCATCTTTTCAAAAAAAACATGCACAACTATTTTCTGAGATAAAATAGATTAACTTTTTGCTGTGCTATTTTTGGAAAAGATATCAATTCAATATCTCCCCAGATAGTTTATTTTTTGCTTTGGTTTTTAGTTAATCACAGGATTTAGTACTTTGGAAAATTACTAGAAAATACAAAAGATAATATTTTTCTTCCAGTTTTCGGCTTTGAAAGCCTTCTGCAATTAAATGCTGCCCACAGTAAAAACCCCCATTTTACAGTATGGTAATGCAATTTGTAATGCATAGCAACATCAAACTACTATCATTATATATAATATGTATACATTATATATGCACACATACATTATATGTGTATTATGTATATTAATGCATATAATGTATACATACATTATGCACACATACATTATACGCATATATATATATTATATACATATATAGAGAGTGTCTTTCTGAGCCACCTGCCTTTCAGGAAGACAGAGCAGGGGCTATGACACCAGAATCATAGAACCATAGAATCAATATGGTCGGAAAAGACCTTCAAGATCATCGAGCTCAGCCATAACAGAATGACTGTTCCTATTGAGGAACTAGTGACCAAGCACACAGAAAAGACCGAGTTATCCAGAATCTTGTTTTTCGCTGGCTAGGTCTGCCTTCAGGCCTCCCAGGTTCTTGAGTTCACTGTGGGCGTGAAATACTTCCTGCGCTAGAGAAAGATAGTGTTAGGCATCTCTTAAGCAAATTGAATTCACACAAGGCTGTAAGACTGGATGAGATGCAGCCAGATGTGCTGAAGAAGCTTCCTAATGACATTGTGAGGCTGTTCTCAATCATTTTTGAAAGGAGGTGTCAACAAAGTGAGTGGTCAATGGCTGGAAAAAGAGACTAACATCAAGACCGCCAAGAAAAAAAGATCGGGGCATTATAAGCCAGACAACTTCTTTTTAGTCCACACAAACATTAGGAAGCAAATCTCTCTGGAACCACGTCAGAATATGTCAGAGCACATTAAGGATAAGAATATGGCCAGGAGTAACCATCATAAATTTACCAAGGATAAATCATGCATGTCCAAGCTGATAGATTTATACAGTGAGAAAATTGACTTAGTGGATGAATGGACAGCAATGGATGCTTGCATTGATTTTAGAACAATAAGGTGAAAAATTGTCTGGACCTCA